GAAACTGTGGTTCATATGTAAAATGAATTTAAAAAATAAAATAAAATATTAATAAAAGAAAGAAAATAGAACAGTGAAACCCATTACTATGAATACATGAATGCCAACTAAAGGGATTAATAGAAAAAACAAAAAACTAAAAGAACAAATTTGTCCTGGCTTAGAAGGCCGGGAATGGCTTCAGCAGAGGAATTTATGCTTGAAGCAGACTAAAAGACACCATGAAGGAGAATTGGGGTGGTGTCCTAACTAGAGCTTCCTACAGATTAAGAAACTCTCCTTGCATATGCAGAAGGCGAGCTTGGAAGACTCAGGGCAAAGCAGGCATTTTTCAGGGCTGATGACAAAGGAGGGGTTAGTGAAAAGAAGGTAGCAACAAATGTGAAATCTCAATGGCCTTAAATAAAAGGGTAAAGTGTAGGGCCAGGTATGGTGGTGCCTGTCTTTAATTTTAGCACTTGGGAGGCAGAGGTAGGCAGAGCTCTGTGAGTTCAAGGCCAACCTGGTGTGGTGAGTTCTAGGTAAATCAGGCTTATTAAAAGCACCTTTTGGGGGACTTTTGAAAAGAAAGATAGACTAGAAGCAGGGAAAGAAAGAGCCTGTTGTTCCAATGACTCAGGCAGGAACTAATGAGGGGGTGGGAGTTGGCCAGCGGAAGCAGAAGGCAGGAAGGGATGGTGGGACAGCCGCCATGCTAGCTGGCTGTGGAAAGAAACTGTTAAAGCAAGAGACAAAAATACATAACACCAAGTTATAGCAAAGTTTGGAAATCAGTTCAATTTCCAAACACAACGCTTATTATTTCTTATATCCTGAGTAGAAAGGCAGTTTTCCTTATCTCTATTTCTTGCATGTATATATTTTCTAGGTTCAGAATCATGCGCTAAGTTCACTGGGAAGTCTTCCTACAATAACCCACTTGCAAGCATCCATACCGCTTTGTAGAATGGATATTGAATGACCGAGTGACATTTGGGAGACAGCTATTCAAAGACATAGCCTATTAAAATGAATCTATATTTCTAAAATTATCCTTGTTTCTTCAATTTCCGAATTCCTCCTCTATCCCCGGCCAGTGGGCCTCTTTTCAGGGTTTATTTTTACTTCCTCCTGCTTTGGTTTGCTTTAGAAGGCTTTTTTCAACATTCTCAGAGACAAAAAGGCAGTGTTCTCCCGAAAAGAATCGAGATGTGAGGATGCCTGAACCTTTTCGTTACAATACTCTGAATGATGAGCTGAGCTGCACGAAGCTGGGGTTGTAAATATTCATCCCCCTTCTCCTATCTGATCCAGCTCTTAGTGGTCTCTGCTCAAGCACACTCAAGTCCCTGCCATCTCCCTTCCTGAAGGGCCTGAGAGCTGTCCAGAAAGACCCACCACTACATCACACCAGAGAACAATGCACACTTTGATGCCCTCTGTGGAAATGTGCTTCTCCCTGATGCATGGGACTGCTTCCATATACCAGGCTGGGTCTCCTTCTAAATTCAAAATTGACATCACAATCCTTCCGCTCATATCTTCTAAGTGCTCCCCAAATCACTCAGAATGGAGCATCGAAAGCCTTGGCTGGCCCACAAGCCCCGTATAGGATGACTACTGGTATCCTGGCTTTACATCCTGTCTCATTCAGGTTCATGAGCTCCCAGTGACATTTTGGCATCACTTCTCATCAATGAGACCTTGACTCTGTTTTCTCTGGTGAAAAATTCCTTTGCAGTGGGTCTCCCAGCTGACTCATAGGGCCTCCACAGACCTAAGCTCAGATCTAAGCTGTGCGGGACCATTCTGACCATCCATGCCTATTGTTGCCAGAGCCTACTCTCTGTCCCCATCTCTTCTGGTCTCCTCATCCATCCTTCTCTACTTCTGCCATAGTAGACCTCCTGCCTAGGATGGTCATCTGCATTCATCTCTTCAAACAGGAAGAGGGTTCATAATTTAAGTGAATCAGTATAACAGACCAGGTTATCAGACAGTGCCTTTAAAATTAAACTTGGAAGTAGAAAATATGTGTCGAAAGCTATTAATAGTTCTTAAAAACACTTAGTAACTCAGGACATTCTGAGACTTGAGAAGTTGGTTCCTTTTATACTCTTTGAAGAAATCTGAACAATGAGATCTACAAATTATCTTTCAAAATGAAAAGGACAGAACCCTCATCTATTTTAAACTTTTATAATAAGCCTGGGAAAAACAAAACTCTCTACCGTTTCTTTAAGAATCAGGTCATGTTGGGGCTGCTGAGATGGTTTGATGAACAAAGTGCTTGCCATTCAAGCTCCAGGATCTGAATCCAAAATTTAGCACCCACATAAAATTCTGGGCACAGTGGCAAGCAAACGCATATATCACCAGCACTGGGAGACTGGTAAGCTCCCTGGTTAGCCAGTCTAGGGTATCAGAGGGTCCTAGATTCTCATGAGGGATCTTGAGGCTGGCTCCTCAAGAATGACATTTGGGGTTGACCTTAGTATATACATGGACATGTGCTACACATATGCACTCAAAGTGGCTGTCCCCCCGCTTTCCTTCATATGAGGTCTTGCAGTTTGAAAGACCAGAACCAGGAACTTGGCTTCACCCCTACAGGACACTACATTCTCTTGTGGAATTCAGCCCACTAGAAGCAGAAGTCCAAACTCTCGAGCAATGAAAACTGAGATTATCTCTACTCTCCAGCAATAAAAAAGGCTAGGCTTTGAGTTAGTTATTCCAAACCTTGAAAGTTTTTGAGACAATTTTCCAGAACAATATGTTATTCTTTTGGGTTCAGCTTCATGAAATGAAGTCATCCCCCAACTACTAAAGAAAAAAAATTGGAAAAAATTTATTTTCACCCTAGGCTTGAATATATGATTCATGGCTAGGCTATCTCATATTGAGTGAAACAATAATTTGATTCATGCCCTGGATAAAAGTTACCCAGATTTTTTTTCTTTCATTTCATCTGTTTAAATAGTAAGCCTAATGCTATTTTAACCAAGTGTCTTACATGTCTGTTTTTTTTTCTTTTTTTTTTTTCCAGAAACAAGAGAAAACAAAAACAAAATCTGCCTGGGAAATATGTGAGCAGAAGGAGCATACTCTATTACTAAAAGAAAAAAAAATCTAAGTATTCAACATTTGTCCTTGTTTGCTTTTGTTGCTGTAATGAACACCATGACCAAACCCAACTGGTTGGGGGGATTGCTTGCTTTACAGGTCAGAGCCTATCATCAGGGGAAACCAAGGCAGAAACTCAAGGCAAGAACCTCGTAGTGGAAACTGAAGCAGAGTCCACAAAGGAGCACTGTTTACTGGCTTGCTCTCCTTGTGGCTTGCTCAGCCTGCTTTCTTATACCAGCTAGACTACCTTCCTAGGGATGGTACCACCCACAGTGGGCTGGGCCCTCCCACATCAACCATTAATCAACAAAATGTCCCCCCCAAATTGCCTTCAAACAATCTATGATGTATTTTCCTGATTTGAGGATCCTCTTCACAGAGGAGTTTGTCTTAAATTGACAAAACACTGACAAGACATTTATCTGACAATTTTATCTTGTATCACTTTAGAAAATATCTGTTAAAAGTGAGTTATAACTTTTTTTGTTTGTTTGTTTTGTTTTTGTTCTACCGGATAGTGTTTCTCTATGTAGCCCTTGTTATTCTGGAACTAGCTTTGTAGACCAGGCTAGCCTTGAACTCAGAGATCCCCCTGCCTCTGTCTCTAGAGTACTGGGATTAAAGGCGTGCGCCACCACCGCCACCTGATTTACAACTACTTAAGAAACATTTAAGGACTGGATCAGCTGCTCAGCTGTGCTCATGGCCTTGGGAGAGGAAGCGATTTTTTAAAACCAGAAAAATTAAAGGACACTAAGTTCAATAAAAGTGATGGATAAATCTGAGCCATTAAACTCGCAGACATTTATAAAAAAGAAGCCATGAAAGTGTTTAAGAAAAATAATAAGTGAGAATGGCTCACTTACAGCTGACAGCCTCGCGCGACAAACACATGTTATTTCAAATACAGAGTGGAACAAGCTGAGACATCCCATCAGTCAAAAAGAGTGAGAAAGAGGAATAGGAATGGGGGCAGAGGCTAAAAACATCCAACAGACACAAGAGAAAATACAAATGGCTCTAACCATAGAAAGGGGCTTGGCCTTGTGTGATCAGTAAAGGGCAAATAAAATACTACTGTTTTTCAGGGTTGTTGGAAGATTGATTGATTATGCATTTACAGCACCTGGGAACATGATAAACATAAAAGAAGTAAATCTGGATAGTGGCGTGGGTCATGTGTTAGCATGTAGGAGGTCTTGAGTTTAAACCACATACCACAAAACAATAATAAAAATAATAATAATGATCTATTAATTTTTTTAAAAAAATTATGTCCTCACTGACCTCAGTGTGACCCTTCCTAGGGACCACATCCAAACGTGAAGTAATTCTCCAAAGTTTTGGCATCCATGAAGACCTGGACTTCCAAAGCTTAGCATGCAACTTGGACCCTTCCTTGGGAACACACCACGCTGGCCCATATGCAATCTTAATGGGATGACCCCCAGCTGCTGTCTCTGCCTCTCTTTTCATGCTCCCTTTCTTATATCGTTTTTAAATTCATTTTGTGTTGCTGTATCACATGCACCTAAGCAAGGCACTTGACATTGCTTCAGAAAATAAGTAGGGCATAAGATGCCACACTGCAAAATGAGCCTCTGCAGACATTGGCCTGCCACTCAAAAGGCCTTTGCATCTCCATACAACCTCAGATCGTGATACAGTCCATCTGTGGGTTATAAACAAATACATCAAGAGTGTCATCCCTGTGGGTTGCTATGGAGAAGGCTCAAAGTCAGCATTCTGAGTCAGTACCCTGAGAATTTCACTTGCTCTTTGGGAAGCACCTTAACTCAGTCAATTCTAAAAGTGTATTAGCCATGATAGTCTATGTATAATCAGAAGGAATGACATACTCACAAAGGATTAGTGACCAACAGACTACTCACATCGACACGTACCACAGGAGAGGAAGTTGCGGAAGCATACGGAGGGGGTGGCGTCTCCGAGGCTATTTCAGGATCTTCCTGCTCACTCTCACTGTAACATTCTGTAACCGGAAGAAAAAGATGCTTCAGGTTTCCAGGCTCTCATCAGTTATTCCATAATGTGTGAGCAAAGGTTTTTCTCCATCTGCGCATTGTGATTTCAGTATCATTCAAAAAGGAAGCATCCAAGTTGGGGGGGAATTAGACAACAAGAAACCTATGGCACTGCCTAATGAAAAGAGACCCAAGAATGGGAGAAACAAGCTTTCCCACATGGCAGTTTCTCCTGCCAGAGAGCATCCAAGATGCAAGATGAGGCTATTGTGACTCAGGGCAAAAAAAAAAAAAAGAAAAGAAAAGAATTCCTTAAAACCTGTGATAGTTATGGCATCATCAGCAGTGGAGATGGAATCAGAATGAGCTGTGGGAGCTACATCTGACTGATAACTCAGCCATGGCTGGTACCCCAAAACAGCAAGAAGGGAACCAGGCTGAAAAAATGAGCCAAGCCACAAAACTGGAGGTCCCCAAGGGAGATCCTGGAAGACCGGCTTTAGAAGTTTGGAGCAATATCACAAAAGGTCTTAAACACCAGGATAAGTCCGTCTACAAATGTTTCTTTTCCCCAGTGTATAACCAATGGATGCTTATCATACAGAAAGGAGGACCAGCGCGGTAGCTAGATGCTGACTTCATAGCATTGTAATGAATTCCCTTGTGGGTTCACACTTGACACTTTTCCATTTCTAACCTTAAGATTTTAAAACTTACTCCTTACAGTGCCCAAGCATCCTATAATCTAAGCATTGCAGCACCAGTCTGATTCAGTTCTCTGCTCCCCACTCTAAAGGCTAGTAATATTATAAAGATATGAATATGACTTTGTGAGGCCTGAACACGCTGTGTCTCCAACCCGATCTTTAGGTTCCAAGAACAATTTTAAGGTAATGAATGCCAACACACACCTGGCAGAGAGATGAAACAGTCAGAGGAAATGGTGGGATGTAAGTTATCTGTCTAGATCGCGACACATTCAGGCCCGTAAGAACTCTGTAAGGAGGGCACTAAAACATTTGCATTGGCAATTGTTTGAGTATCGGTGGGGCCCGCAGCTGCTCACGAGTGGGAGAAGTGTGAAATCGCTTCAGTTGGCAGGGAGGCTCGGCTCCGTGGTGAGGCTGTGTGAAGATGGCTGTCTGTACCTTTTAGATCACTTCAAATGTCAAACCACGTTTCCCCAGGATCAGCCTATACATAGAAGCTGAATTGTCTCTTTCTTCCTCCTGACTCTTGCTAAAGTTTCAGAAACGGAAAGCAGAACATACCTTCGTCCTTTGTAGTGGACTCCTGGTGGATTACTGCAAATCCAAGTTTGCTTAACCACCTAAGGTCCAAACAGAAAGTCAATGTCTGACCACACAGCTGGGCCCTCTTCTACTCACTTTTTTCTAAATCAGATAAAATAAAATTTATGTCATCGTTCACTTTAAAAAGACTAATAGTTTTCAGTTTATACCTGATTTTATAAGTATATAATGCTGGCCCTTCCCTTCCTACAAACCAAAAGATCTAAAAGTAAAATATCAAAGAAATAAAAAGATAATGGAGAGCTGAGTTGAGAGTAACTGACCCCATTGTACTTCTGGCACTCTAATCCACACATCCAGTCCAATAATTTCATAAAAGTCTAACCTCCTCTTGACTGAAAATGTGATTTTCTGCATAGGAGACACTCACTAAGTTACATGGCCCTCAAGAGAACTGTTTCTTTCACTAAACCCTTGTTGGCAAGATGAAAACTATTTTGAAAAGATCAGTCCCAACATGGGTGGGAAAGACGGTAACAGGGATAAAGCCAAAACCATGTGATGTCCGCGATGCTGCTGGAGAAGGTATCAGAGTGGGATGCTGGGCAGCCCTGCCTCCCTGCCACTACAGACCAGAGGCAGCCCTGTGGACCTCAGTGGTGGCTCAGCAGCAGACTGGCAGTCACCATCTCTGGGTTCTAACTACCTCTAGGCAAGAACACTACCTTCTTCTGAACACTTGCAGAACATGTGACTGCAGATGGGCTGGATTGTGTCACCAGTGCCATACAGAGACAAGTTTTGACCTTTGAAGGGCATGTGCCCTGTCTTCTGAGGTGTCTGTACTATATTTCCCCTTCAGGTGCTTGAGAAAGGCAAGGGAGGGGGCGAAAGCTACAATGAGAAAGTGTGTGAAGCAGACACTCTCTTTGTCTATCAAAGACATGTTTGAAAGACACTGTTGTCAGTTTCTTCTCTGACAGCTAACCCATGGTTTCCCAACTCCCTGTGAGTGATTTGTCCTCATCTGGAGAGCGAGGTGAGGGTAGGCTAAGCATGTATAACAAATGAGAAGGCTCCTAGCTAGACCGTGCTGCAGAAGAGGTGACCTGAAGGGGGTGGAAGTGTATGAGGGAAGATAGCATCTATTTTATTTAGTTTTCTGAAACAAGAAGGCAAAGATGGATTATGTATGGAAGATAAGCAATGAAATGCTTACCATGTACAATAGATAGCAGCATTTCAGGTTAAACTCTATGAATGGAAGAATTACAGGGTGGGGTGGGAGGGTTTGATTGTTACTACCCACCATATTTGTCAATGGGGCATACTATACATGATCCACAAACATTAAATTATTATATGATGGTCTTAAATCAACAGGAATAGTCTTTTTAAGTTGATAGGCTGTCTTCTGGTGCCTCAAGGCAGCACCTCACAGACCGCTTCATTCAAATTATAGCCAGTGCTGTGCATCTTTGTCTAAACCAGGAGCCAAGTGGGAATTGAGTGCAGTGACCTAACAGAGCAACCCGAAAACAGAACTAGCATATATTTTAAAGTCAGGTGAACCAGAAGTAAATGTTCGGGGTGATGCAAGGAGAAGCAGGCGATAAGTCCGTGAGCCTTTGTGATAATCACACAGCACACACTAGAGGCTGCAGAGCCTGAGTAGCGATGGTCTTTCTCCTTGTGGTGTGAATTCTCATCACGTCACATCTTCTGTCTACTCTCTCCTCTCAGTGGTTCCTTCAGGAGAATCTTACAACTACTCCCTAAATCAGTCATTAAGACAAGTTTACGTCCACAAATGACTACACATGCTAGAGAAGAAAGCAAGATGATTTTATAATGCCTAGAAGAATTAACAGAACAAACTTAAGTAACAAAAATAAATAGGACAATGAGAAACATGACCATTGGCGTAAAACTCTGATGCCTGACTGAAATAAGTTCATTCTCTTACGGACTGGATGCAGCCGTCTCTACTTACATGTTCATTTCCTGTAAATTCTCTGCCGCAAAGTAGAAGGTTTTGATCTCTGGGTGGTTGATCTTAAATGCACTAGAAAGGAGAAAAGCACATGTGTTAGAGTTTTTAAAGTAACTTGGTTAAACACCTGTTATCTGGTCCCTATTCCAGTTAGCAGGGGTCATTTTATCCTGTCAGAACTGCATCTTAGCCACTCCTTAGCTTCCATTTAAATATCTAAAGGTGTACCTTTGTCACCTGCTAACTATTTAAAGGTTTAGAAACAATACATTCAAGTTGAGAGTCCCTGGGTTGTCACTTTACAGGATTCAGATCAACTCATTAAAGAAAGGTATTATTTAAATTCAGTCAACTATACAGTAGAGTTTTAGTTATATGAAAATAATCAGGTATGCCACTTCAACACCACATAACTCTTCAGAAGGGGCTCTGTATTGGTAAAGAAAAAAAAACAAATTAGGTATTAGTTAAAGGAAGTTTATTGCCCATCAGTGATAGCAAGTAAAATGTTTCCACTTACCAATCACACCAGAACAGGACAGAGTTATCTTTTAATAACCAATCAAAAATCACAAGCATCAATACAGAACAAGACACAGCTATTATACTAGTATAGCAAAGAACAAAAGCTAACACTGGTTCCCAAGAAAGCAATTCATTGCTTATCAATGAAAAAAAGATGTTCCTTTCAAAAAATAAAGGAAAAGATGTTGAAGAAAGAATAAGAAAAAGAACAAAGATGACATAAAAGTAAGTCATAGTAGGGTGTTCTCTTGAAATGATCATGTGACCAAAGTATATACTCAGCTCTCTAGGGAGCTCTTGACTGTTCCCAGACCCTCCAGGCTCTGTCCTTCTTAGCAGAACCTACTTCACCCCCATCACTGTTCATTCTTATTCTATAGCAGACAGAATACAGTCCCAACCGAAATGCATCAGAGTATGGAATGGCAAGGCCAGTACTAATAATACCATGAACTAAGATGACTTGGTCTTGCTGTTAGGTCTACAACTCTGGGTGGCGACCCCTGCTTTGCTATTTATTCTTTACAAGGTCAAAACCTTGACATTGATTCCCTTGCCTTAGTGTATGTTTGGCACAGGTAAGGGGGCAGTTAATACCCATCTACCCCATGGGTTGACATGCCAGAAAATGAGAAGTTTCTATGTCCATTCCCTATGAGTGTATGTTTGTACAGTGACAATTCATAACACTCAAAATTCCCAGACATTTTAATCATACCTTCCTCCACTTCCAAATCACCCCATCACTAGGTGAACATTGAAAATGGATTTGGGGGATGAAAAAAGGACTCACTGTTTTTTCTTGCATTCAGAGGCTCTTTCCACTGTGAAATCTGGCAGGTTGACAAATCCATCAGCTTTTTCTGCCTGAAACAAACACATAGTCATAAATGCTCTGCTGCCAGGCTTTGACACACTGACAACATGAACTAGAAAAGACATTCGTTAAATGAGGCGGAACCACAGGAATATCCATGAAGCAGCATTAACTAGCCATGGACTTAGATACACTGTTTTTAAAAGATATTAGTATTCTTAAAAGTAGAAACAAAAACATTTCATAAGAAGTGACATGAGAACAGAGTGGCAGTGGTGGCTCATGCCTTTAACCCCAGCTCTCGGGGGCCAGAGGCAGGAGAACCTCTGTGAGTTCAAGGCCAGCCTGGTCTCTATAGTGAGTTCCAGGACAGCCTGGGCTACACAGAGAAACCCCTTCTTAAAAAAGGAAGGAAGGAAGGAAGGAAGGAAGGAAGGAAGGAAGGAAGAAAAAGAAAGAAAGATGTTGAAGAAGGGCCACTTGTTGGTTCCTGGCTGCCCAGCTAGTTTAGACCCAAAATAATCACATAGAAACCATACCAGTTAAATCACTGCTTGGCCCATTAGCTCTAGCTTCTTATTGGCTAATCTCTTACAAATTAATTTAACCCATTTCTACCAATCTATGTATCACCATGTGGTAGTGACTTACCTGCAAAATTTCGGCATGTCTGACTCTGGCAGGGGTTCCATGGTATCTCTCTAACTCCACCTTCCTCCTTTCATGCTATAGGCCAAGACAGTTTTCTTTATTCATTAACCAATAAACAAATAGTCAGAGGGACCTCCCACATCATTATTTTTATTTAAACAGAAAGGGGGAGGCGATATGGGATTTACCTCTGTATGCTGTGATTACTATTAATGAATAAAGAAACTGATTTGGACAGCAGGGCAGAGCTTAGCTAGGCAGGGAAAACTAAATGGCATGCTGGAAGAAAGGAGGCAGACTCAGAGAGATGCCATGTAGCCCCGCTGGAGACAGACACTGGGTCTTTAATCAGTAAGCCACAGATTAATAGAAATGGGTTAAATTAATATGTAAGAGTCAGCCAATAAGAAGCTAGAGCTAATGGGTCAAACAGTAATTTAATTAATACAGTTTCTGTGTGATTATTTTGGGTCTAAACTAGCCAGGTAGCTGGGAACTAACAAGGAACCCTTCCCCCAACAGAAAGAGATGTGATATAATGCAGCTTAGGGATGATCAGAGTACAGCAGGCTCTGGGCCTGCCCCTGTTCTCCTTCTGTCCTCATGAAACCCACAGACTTAACCCATCTATGTCCTGCTTCCTGCTGAACCCAGAGGCATGCTCATCATCATTCTCCCCCAACAACTGTGGCGAGCCACAAGCACAGGAGACAAACCTCATTAGCAGCCTAGAGATGGTAGACAGAGCCCAGGCCTTGAAGTTGGCAAACCCACAGATACATATCTTGCTGTCTGTTAGGACTGGAGAGAGCCCAGATAAACATAGCCTTTAACAGACATTCAGCAAGAACCACTTCTTTCCTGAGGCTGTAGGAAGTGTTTGGAGTGTTTGCTCAGAGTCATATCTTGCAAAATCCTACTGCCATGGTTGACTCTTATAGAAGAAAGTCCCCCAAAAAGAATGATGCTGTGGATAGCATAGGATGAGTTTTGCTTTAAATCAATAAAAGCTTCACAAGAAATAGAATCAAGGAGCTCCCTCTCTATGAACCAGTTGATCTATAACATATAAATAAAAGCTAAGATGATCTACAGAGAAGTTGGGTCATTTGTCATAAACAGAGCTCACATCTCCTTTCAGGCACACTAATGTCCCTCAGTAGAGAAATGCAATTTTTTAAAAATGTAAATGAATTGTCAGATATTAAAAGATTAATTAAAATTTGATTTTGAAAACACAATCTTAATTTTAAAATCAGCTAGCTGTTAAATTTGTGCCAGAATGATCTTAGTTGACTTCATTATTCTGTCTCTTTTTCATATCATTGAGAGAGCAACTCACCTTTTCTTCAGAAAAAAATTAGTCAACTCCATTCCCAGCCTCTGTCTCCTAGATATCTCTGTTTATACAAGTATGTGCCTGCATGCTCTCCCTTGGAAGAATTAAAACTCAATTCTAGTGAGAACTTCTCCTTCTAAAATACACACACACACACACACACACACACACACACACACACACACGTATACACTGAGTGCACACATAGATACCTCATTTATTTATAGGCTTTTTAGTTACCACACAGTGGCTTCATCAATCTCATCTTTAAACACAAAAAAAAACAAATAAAGTATACATTCAAGGAACGTATAATACAGGAGTTTGATGTGGGATTCTCTTCTGCATGCTCTAAATACCGTTGGTTAATAAAGAATCTGTCTTGGTCCTGGTAGGGCAGAATAGAGGTAAGTGGGGAAAACTAGATTGAATGCTGGGGGAAAGAAGGCAGAGTCAAGGAGAAGCCATGGAGCCCAGCTATAGACAGACACTGGATGGAACCTTGCCAGTAAGCCACAGCCATGTGGTGATACACAGATTAATAGAAATGGGTTAAATTAAGATGTAAGAGCTAGCCAATAAGAAGCTAGCACTAATAGGCAAAGCAGTGGTTTAATCAATACTGTTTCTGTGTAGTTATTTTGAGTCTGGGCAGCCAGGAATGAACAAGAAGCCTCCTACAACATGAGTTGATATTTTATATACCACACAATGTTTCCTGTGATTTTCAATTACAACTATATGCAGAAATGTAATTTTGGAAAACCTAGGTCCATGGCTAAAAACCTACCCAAAGCAAATACGGATGTTCAGGTGTATATGTACGGTAACAGTACACATTGTTCACAACCAGAAACAGACCAACACACAAACTGATCATCAATAAACAAACTGTGATAAATCCATACAGATTTTTATGTATAGTCACAAACTGCATGAAAGATTGCCATATGCTAAATAGATAAACCTTGCAAATATTATGCTAAATGAAAGATTTTAGTCACAAAATATCATGCATTATTTGGTTACATGTATATGAAATATTCAGAATAAGAAATACATAAAGAAAAAACACAGATATTTATATATATATTCCAGGTCCTGGGGAAAAAATTGGGCATAACTACTTGAAGGAAGTGAAGTTTTGTCTTGGAAATGTTTTGAAACTAGATACAGATGGGTGTACATCTTTGTGAATGTACGAGATTTTTACTCAAGTACTCACTTCAAAATGGTTGATCTTATGTAATATGGCCATATTGATCATGCCATATAACATATATGTAATATATATGTAACATCACTGTTATATTAAGACATTTTCATATAAATCCCCATAACTAGTTTTGAGGAAAACTCTCATTATATCAAGCATTTGTTGCCACTTCAATGCCATCTGTTCCAGATTCTAAGAAGCCTAAACACTTCCAATGCGAAGTCCCATCCATCTCTTCCATATGTCCTAAGTTGGACTCTAGTGAACATTAACCCAATCCGATCCACCCCTGTGCCTCCTAGCAACACTGCTGCTCACCTTCCTTCTAATTACCTCCTCTTTTAAAGTTTTCACAAGGTCTTCTGCTATCTCTTCGATATCAGGGTACCTCAGAGTTCAATCCATAAACCTTTACTCTCTCCATTCCAGCATTATGGCTGACTGACTTGTGACATCTCCATGAATTCACATATCATCACCATACACACACACACACACACACACATTCAAAATCCACAACTTGAATTGAGGTTCATCCCTGGAGAGCTCCTCGTCTAGATGTATAATGGCCCAGTATCTTTATTCACATGGATAAATGATGAGCTCCTGGAGAATGGCCCAAACCAAGACCATCTTACTCCATGCCTTCTCCTCTTCTGTGTTCTCTGCTTCAGTGAATAAGATGACACCATCTATCAAGACTTCATAAGAGAAAAGGAGGGTAGAGAAGGAGAGAGAGAAGAAGAAAGAAAGAGAGAAAGATGAACAAAAGAGACATTTCTAGCTCTCCTGTTCCAGCTATCCCTATGTGGATACTGTCTGTCACCATAAAAATACATGCTGAGTCTTAGTCCATGATGAGAAAGACTGAAGTCTTTAAAACTTAAGTGAATTGCTCTGCTAAATGAACAGTGTCAAATCTACCTCTAAATTAATACCTCTGGGTGGCCTGGAAGAAAATGGCCCAAACAGTCTCACAGTTTTGAATGCTTGATTTCCAACTGCTGGAACTATTTGGAGGGATTGGGATGTGTGGCTTTGTTAGAGTAGATTTGTCACTAGGGGTGAGCTTTGCAGTTTTAAAAGACTGGATTCCCTGTGCCAGGCTTCTCTCTCCCTCTGCCTTCTGCTTGTCACTCAAGATGTGAGTGCTCAGCTATTCTTGCCACTATACTCTACCATAATAGATTCTAAAATTGGAAGCCCAATAAAATGTCTATTTTTATAAGTTGTTTTTGGCCATGCTGTTACAGTAATAGACACCCTAACTAAGACAACCTCTATACCCACATGCTAATACAGCCCTCAAACCTCATCAGAGAAACTTCTACATGTAATAGAAATTTACAATTGACCAAGTTAGAGTAAGTGAATAAGCATCACAAATGAAACATCTATATCATACGCACACACACACACACACACATGCACGTACATGCATACATACACAGATGACTCAGAGATCATCATAGAAAATGAAGAGAAAGACTGTAAGAGTCAGAGGTCATGGATTGTAGCAAAAGTGTCTTCCAAACATGACAGATCAACTTTACTCATGAACCCAGAGCTGTGGTTGCCTACACAAGACCAGTACAAGATCAAGCCAGTCAGCACTATAGCATGGAGATGAGATGGCCATGTGAGCCCCCACCCCTAACCGGGAAAGTTTTTATTACTGATGGCTTCTCTGGGAAGGAAAGTCAGTCTTCTTTAAGGGTATGTCCCCTAGTCAGTTAATCACTCCCCCAGTAAATTGTCTCTCACCCCGGTATATGCACTGTAAAAATTGGGTTATTAAGAATAAGTAAAAAAGAACAGGAAGTGTGTGGGGATGGCGAAATAGG